GAATTAGCATAATTTGTAGTGCTGATTCGCATTCCACAGGAGATTTGTTCTAACCACACATGACAAAACAGATAATCATCACTAAAAAATCATGTTACTGAAATCAACAAACTCAAAATTATTATAATTTTTAGCATAAGATCAGAAAACCTTGCACTCGTCATTAGTTGTTAAAATGATAAGCAGCACATGAGATTTACCTTTCCAGAACACCCGTATTCAACTACTATAATTAGATAATAAGTACAACATTTTAGGCATTGGATTGGACTGGACGGCTCTTCAATTGTGTGATCACAGCACGGTTAGAGTATAGTAGGAACAATAGTAAAAACGAAAAGATGAGAACAGCAGATCAAAAGCTGACACTTGTGTAGGAACGCACCAGCAAAAACAAACAACCAAACAAAACCAAAACGATTGTGTCGCAAGGCCCACAAACAAGTTTAAGCTCCATACATAACAAACTAAGCCAAAGCATCTTTTCTCTCTTTCATATTTCCTTTATTCAAATGTTTTGAAAAACAACATAAATCTTTTGAAAAACAACACGGTTGCTTAATTGAAAGCAAGCACAAAGACAGCAATGGTTCTTACCCTCTTGAGATAACGTGACCGAATCCAATTAGGTGAAGCATGAAAAGGAGTCCGTTTCTCCACCTGCCTTGTCATTATATGTGTCGATGGCAGTGAAGAAACTATACGAACATCATTGGCAAGAACTTTCTTGAAGTGCTCCAAATCAAAGATATCAGAAAATTCACTGCACCCATAAAATAAGACACAGAAATAAACTCTGAGTCTCCTAAACAGTATAGCACAATAGAAATCAACCATAAACCAACAACAACAAAGCACAAACTCATTAAATGAAGATATCCTTTTAGTTAGGAAAATGTGAGTTGTAGTATTCTTTACCTTTCATCTCCCCAAATAACATTAACTTGCAAAATGGGAACAACCAAAGCAGCCCCAAGAATCCTAGCAATAACCACAGCATCAACAATCTGATTCCTTTGCTGGTTCATCCCACCAGAAACAACAACAATCAGATATTTTGTCTTATCCTTCACAATACCTGCACTAGCTTTTTTATACTCATTGCTCGAGGCCAAGCACGGCCGATACCCCAAACCATCCGGTTGCTTCCAAAACTCACTTTGCTCAGCTTCTTCAACACCCACCTCTGATTTCAAATTCCCATTTGAAATCAACGGCTGTGAATGGCTCACACTGTTGAAAACCTCAAGTTGGTGACTGTTTTCACCATTTGAAGCATTAGCCATATGTGATTTTAAATACCCATTAGAGACCAAGTTCTGTAACTGACTTGTGGTACATGGATATGGAGAATATGGGATCAAAGGGTGAAGGTTGAATCCCAACTTCAGCATACCAAGAAAGCCAAAGAGAAACAGAAATAAAACCCAGAACTTTGGGCTCCTGTAGTTGGTGAACCAGCTCAAGTACCTGTTTTTACTCCATGAAGATTTCTTAGCTGAAAGGAGTGATTGCAGAGAAGATGAAGACAAAGACTTGATTATCTGAGAAGGGACTGAAATGTAAGAAAGCTTATTAGTGTTGTTGTTCTTTGACTTGGCCATTGACAGGATAGGCTGAGAGCCAGAGAAGCTCTGTTTCTTCTTCTTCAAAAGAAAAAAGGACATAAAAATTTGATATTGTTTGCGTGTTTTCTGTATTTATGAGCTTCCTTTACTCTCTCTCTCATTGACCATTCAAGGGGAGAGAGAGAGAGAGAGAGAGAGAGAGATAATGGTCTGAAACAGGCGGCGGGAACACGAAGTTTGAACGCGTTTGCGTTTATTTATGAAAAGAAGAGGAAAGCTGTGTCTGTGCGTTTGTGTTGAGTTGAGTTGAGTGTGTATGGGGACAATTTTATGAGCTTAAATTAAGAAGCTTCTTAGTGGGATGTGAGCTATAAATAAGCTTCTTAGTGAGTGTGTATTGGGTTTCTTTCTTTTTCTTTATAAATTTTTTTCTTGGAGGAATCTGATAAACCATTACTATTTTAGATAAAAATACCAACCAATGATCATATACAATGTGTTTTACATGGCAATTCCAATAGATGCCAGCTATCTACTTTCATATTAATCCCTTTTTTTTTAATATTAAATTACTAATACTATACAATATCATGTAATGTAATGGTTTCATATCAATTATTATCTTCTATAGGCATGCCAATTTTTATTTATTTATTTAATAGGCTTTTCCAGCCAGTTATGTTTTGCATAATTTTACATTATAATTAAGATATCAACTATGACATAATGTGTGCAATTAATATCTTATATAAAGAGAGATAAAAGATAATATAAAGAATATCAACATTTGATATAGTGATAGTTGTTTTTATTTGATTGGAGTTGGTTTTAAGTTCGACTTAAATAGCCGAGAGAGTAATATCTATTGTGGTAAGTTTGATTTTATTTATTAATAGCGGTTAAATTTCTCGAAAGGGGAATGCTAGTTATATTTCTCATAAGATTCTCATCCCAGCGAAGTATTTTGATGATCGAAATCGCTCATCTTCAAAGCTTCCTTTTAAGATCATATCTGCAAGTGAATCAACCATAAATTTTTATAGTATGAATAATTTATCTTTGACCGAATTTAAACAGTGTAATAATTTGAAACTTGGTAGAATTATTATTATTACATATACGGAGATGGGTAGTTGGGTCAATAAAAGAAAATTTAAAATTTTGAAAAGGATAGATTAGAATAGAATAGAATTAGGAAAAAGTACAGTAAATCCCCCAACCTATAGGGTCACTTACGAGTTCATACCCGATTTTGGGAACATTTACTAGTACATACACAACGTCACGGAAAATCTACAGATTGCCCCCTCCGTTAGCGAGATCGTCAGAAAATCCGTTACCTGCCTATGTGGCATTTATGGGACCCATTGTTTAATTGACGTGGACTCACAGGTGGACAAATAAATAATAAAAAATTATATACATGTTAAAAATAATTTTTCAAAAATATTAAAATCTTTAAAAATGAAAAAAAAATAGAAAAATGTAAAAAGACGCAAACAGCCCCATTCCATCCCCTCCCTTCCAGCCCAACCTCCAACCCACCCTCCGAGCCATCGCAACCCAGTTCTGTTTGAACGCATTCGATTTGAAATTGTTCTCGGCCGGGCTGTTCAACGACCATTCGTACGGCTCAGTGGAGGACGGCGAGGGTTTCGTGTTGGAGGAGACGGTGGAGAAGGTGGTGGAGAGAGAGGAGGCGTTCACGAAGGCCGAGAAATTGAGGTTGAGGAGGAAGAAGGCGTGGGGTTTGGAGATGGAGGAGCAGAATGGTAATTTGGCAATTGGGGTCGAGGTTTACATATTGACTGAGAATCTCGTGGTGGTGGAGGCTAAGAGGATAGGTGGCGACGCTGGACCTTATAGGGAGATGTGGAAGAACAAGCTCAGGCCTCATCTGATGTGCCCAGATGATCACGAGGTATCACCGCCATTACCAACTCCTCCTTCCTCTGCTGCTTCTTCGTCCTCGTCGCTTGCCCAGTTGATTGATTGAACATCGGTAATCGCAAACGACAGGTCGTTTTCTGCAACCAGCCTAAGTTGCTGGGGAGGGAAGTCCATTCCTTGAATTATACTGAACGAATTCGGATTCTGATATTTTTCTCAGCCAAGCATTTTCTATTTCATAGGCACTGACGTTTGGGATGTGAAATTTGACCGGCCTCGACGCCGGGAGGCTGATCGAAATTTGGGATGTGAAATTTGAAGTTGAACTCAGCTATGGTTTGGGGACGGCGACGGCCACGACATCGTTTTGGGGTTTGTGGTTTGGGGAAAACGATCAGATCTGTGGCATGAGGGAGGTGATGGGTTGGGCTGGAACAAGAGAGGTGTCAAGGCTGGGATGGGTGGCCTGAGTAAGCTTGGGTGGTGGTTTGGGTGGCTGTGGGCTAGGAGGAGAGGAGATCGGGAGAGAGAGAGAGA